CACTTATGACCCATTCATTACAACAAGCAAGGTTCCCATCATAAATGATGGAACGGTGCAATATATAAATTCTACAGTAGATGCCTCATTAGTGAAAGTATTAAATGTTCTCATTGAATTGTTAAAGAGCTTTCGATTTGACGACAACATTAAATGCCTAAAGAATTTAGTCATGAATGAGAAACAAATTCTCGGCGTTGCTGGTAGCAGTAATGATGTACACCTTATGACATTAGAATATTATAACGAACATAAAGATGAACTGAAAGGAGAGAAGGGTGACACCGGACCTCAAGGACCACAAGGAATACAAGGACCTCAAGGCGAAAACGGTTTGGATGGTGAAGATGGAAAGGATGGAAAAACTGCTAAATCATGGATATGGAACCTTATAAATACTGGTTTAACAGCTGCTTCATATGGAGTTCTTCAATACCAAATCGGAAAGATATGGGCAGTACTTGGTGAAGAAGTTTTAGATGACGTTAAAAATGCTTTGAACTTCATTTCAAATGGTTCGGATACTATTAAAACTTTATCTGGTTGGATGCAAGAAACAAGGAGTCAAATAGATACTGTAAGACGTATAGCAAACAATGCACGTACGGGATTGGATACTTTACGAGAAGCACAAAATACACTAAAGGAAGCAAATGATATTCTTGGCTCAGTATCAGACATGCATGAAGATTGGCTTAAAGGTATTGACAAATCTTTAAAAAATCACAGTCAGTCTATTGCTGACTACAAGAAAAGTATAGATTTTTTACATAGTGCTATGGACGTACATGATGGAAGCATAAGGAACTTACTTAATGCTAACAATAACTTACCAGGAACTATTAAAGCATTTATAAAGTCCTTTGTAAAACCTGGTGCTCTAACATTTAGGTCTTTGAGAGCAAGAGCATTGAAGTCAAGAGATGCAGAAACTCCAACAGAACCTACAGAAGGAACTGAAACAACAGAAACTCCAGAAGAACCACCAAAACCAACAGCTAATGAAATATTGTTCGAATATTTTCCAAGGTACTCTGTTCTCATTGCATACATTCAAGAAATACTTAAGAAAGCAGACTTGACTTTAGGAGATGATGAAAGTTCTGTATATCTTTCGTTCCAGTTTCAAATAGCAGAACTTTTGAGACAGATATGCTTAATGTATGACAACATCTCTGATTTCACAAGATATGATGACGACCATGACCCCGAACACGGTGAAGAAGAAGTTTTACAAACATCCATTAAGACAGGAAAGGTTTTAACTCAAAGTCTCATTATTGACACCAAAGATGGCGAAGTGGACGTTCTTCAAGAGCTGAAGAAAAATACTTCTTCGGGAGGTGGTGGTAGGCATGAACTTGAAATAAATGAGATAGAAGAGAAATTAGCCGAAAAAGCAGATAAAAACCATGTTCATTATATAAGTTCAGACGAACAGATTATAACGGACTACCATGGATATTTAACACAGGATGAACAAATAAGCACTGAAGATGTTAATGAAAGAAGATATAAATTCATTCGTGCTAAAGGTTATGACATACACTGTACTGTACAGTATGACACAGGTAAAGCACCAGAAGCATTTGGTTATAACAATGAAATTTATGCTTCATACTTCTTTGTTAACGGTGTATTAGTTGAACCAAGATTTACATTGAGAGTTAAGGCAAAAATAACTTTTGAAGATGCTATTAAAAGTAAAGCTGACAAAGATGAACTTGACGCAACGAACAAAGTTTTGAAATCTCATAAACACAATATCTCCGATATAAATGAACTTCAAGCTACATTAAATAGTAAAGCTGACAAGAACCATACACATGAATCCTTCACTACTGTTAGAGCAGACGACATAATATTGAACTATACCCTTGGTTCAAGTGCACCTTTAGAGAATCCAAGTACAAGCGTAAAAGATACACTAAACTCCTTAAATAGTAAATGTATGAACATTGAAGGTCATGTCAGAAACTTTGAAACACATGAACTACCAGCAATGTTAGATAAAAAAGCAGATAAAGAACATACACATAACTCCTTCTCAACTGTTGCTATAGAAAGTATTGAAGGAACGGTTGGCGGAACTGGTGGGGATGCATTATATTATAAACCTCCTAACTTTCCACAAGGTTTAACATCGAATGAAAACATAACAACGAAGAAAGAAATTAGCTGTAAAAATGTTTATGTCATGGATGATGAAAATAATGTTAAATTCACTGCTCAAGATTTATATGATAAGAAAGCAGACAAAACAGAGCTTCAAACATTAAAGACTGAAATACTTCAAACATTATATCCTATAGGCTCTATTTATACGTCAATGAACTCAACAAATCCAGCAAGTGTTTTAGGTTTTGGTACATGGCAGCAGATTGTAGACAAATTCTTATACTGTGCTAACTCTTCAAAGCAAACAGGAGGTTCGAAGAAAATTACTGAAGCAAACTTACCTGCGCACACTCATACAGGAACTACAAACTTTTCTGGCGACCATAGCCACTCATTAAGAGACCACCCATTATACAACTCAGACTATAAAGCTGGCAATGATGTTTTATCTCCATCTTATAACAATTCAGCAAAAAAGACTTTTCGACCAACTGAACCAGGAGGAAATCATTCACACACTTTCACAACAAATCCAACAGGCTCGGGTGAAGATTATATGCCACCATTTATGACGGTTTATGCATGGTACCGCGTTCAATGAACGCGCTTGAGCCTAGACCCTTTGGGTCAAGGCTTACCGTCTTGAATAAAATCTTTAACTTTACATAAATGAGCTTGAAAGAAGTATTCGAACAACATCCATGGAGGTCATTTAAGAAGTTCAATGAAGCTGCAAAGAGTTGGGGATTTACTAACAGAGCTGAAGTGAAAAGGTTCTTTGACAAAAATGTTGTACATCAAACAAAAATAAACCCTTACGACTACTTTTTACCAATTTACTCCAACACTCCTGACGCATACCAATTTGACACTCTCATTCAAAGCAGAAAAGGAGGACATAAACCATTCCTCATCTTCATTAATGTTAACACTCGTAAAGCATATGCATATCCAATGAAAAATAAAGGAACTCGTGAAGTGTTAAGAGTTTTACAAAAGTTTGTAGCAGAACATAACCCAAGTACTTTAACATCAGACCAAGACGGTGCATACCTCAGCAATGAAATCACAGAATTTCTCATTAAGCATAACATAACTCACTACACTACCGAAGACCATAACCATAACATACTCGGCATCATAAACCGCTTCATAAGGACTCTCAGAGATTTAAATCAAGAGCGAGACTTTACCGAAGAAACAATGAAACATTTTCTCGAAATATATAATTCCTCAACACATTCTACAACAGGACATACACCAAATTCAATGACACAACAACAAGAAGAAAAGTATATACAAAAGAAACGAAGCCAAACACAAAATATCAGAAATTCAACACAATTTACCCTCATTCCTGGTACAAAAGTTCGTGTAGTTCTTGACGACAAACCGTTGACAAAGAAACGTTTAAGGTTAAGTCGAAATTATTATATCGTAGACTCTACGCAAGGTAATGGATATCTTATAAAAGCTGCTGACGACTCCATTGCATTTTACCCTCGACATAAATTAGTCGAAAGTAGTAATGGCAAACTTGCTGAAACCATTGACGAAGCAAAACGAGGAGTGGTTATTGAAATACTTGGCTACATCATAAACGATGACACTTATAAAGTAAGATATGAGGAAGGCGTTGAAGATGTTATACCATCTAAGAACTTGAGAGAATCTAAACCAACTCATCTGGGACCATTAGAGCGGGAGTACTGGAAAGATAAAAACATGCCAGAAAGAATAAGAAAATTCTTCTAAACTTTTTCATTAGATGTAAATCAGACATGAACGAGAACAGTCATGATATCATTAATGGTACCATTTATTTTAACATAAAGACGCAAAGCGGCGGGGCATAGCCCATGAACAAAAATAATTTTTAGGGTAGATGGGTATATCTAACCTCATTTCTACCCTCATTTCTACCCTCTGCCGCTAAGCGGCGAGACCCAAAGGTCTTGAATTTTCATGAATTTCGTTAAGATAGAAAAAATAAAGTTAGTTTTATTTTTATTTATTTTTTTATTTTGTATGTAAGAACAGAAATGTCAGTCGAAGCAAAAACATTCACGAACAAATCTAATGGCGAAACATTCACAAAAGGCACTTATAACGGTATTGAAGTCTTACATAGAGACAAGGATGGTTACATTAATGCAACAAAGATGGCAAGAGAAGCGGGAAGGTTAAACCATTTAAACAGATTTCTCAATAGTGCTAAAATGCAGGAAATTCTTGAGTTTTGGTTGAAAGAATACGGTCGAGCCAAAAGTGGCTCGACCTCAAAACAAGCATTTTATGAGCTTACTAAGGGTGTTATAAATGAATTCAAAGGTATTTACATACATCCTGACCTCGTTCATTTTGTTGCTGAATGGTGCTCTGTAAAGTATGTATTTTATGTCAAAGATATTATGGACTCCATAGACAAGAAAGTTCATGAGAAATTAGATGAAGAAGAACTCGAAGATACAGTAGAGAATGCAAAACATTTGTTTGAAGAAGAAGTTAGAAAAATGCATGAAAAACAATTAGAACATGAACGTGAGATATGTTATGGTTATAGAGATTCTCCATACGAACTAGACCAATGGAAACAAGAAGATTTAAAGAGAGAATTTAGAGAATATGAACTCGCTAAGATAGCATTAGAAGCTGCAGAAAAGAAGTTAAAAGTTTGGGGTCGTTTTGTACAAAAATATTGTGAGTAAATGAACCATTTATTTTTATTGAATTCACCAAAAATAATGTTTAGGGTAGATGGTTAGATCTAACCTCATTTCTACCCTCATTTCTACCCTCTTGAATTTTCATGAATTTCCTTAAGACAGAAAAAATAAAGTTAGTTTTATTTTTATTTATTTTTTTTATTTTGTATAAAAGATATGATTTCAACAATTGGCACAACAACAATTCAAACAACAACAGCACCAAACTCGTTCGTCATGAATCCTACGTCAATGTTAGTAGAAATGAAAAACTTCATTCCTTCTTCATATAGTTTTGTAACAGAAATACAAAGAATAAAGCAAGAACTTTTAACAAGTAATTTAGACTGTACCGCACAGGATGAAGAAAATGAAGAATATCTTTATGACATGCAGGACATTATTGACCATTTACCCAAATTGCCTGAAATCCAACAACAAAAGCTCACTATTCCTGAATTCGATGAAATTGAAGTTAAAGTTAGTGATTCTGCAGAAATAAAGAAGTTCATACGTAAAGTAAACTATGAGTTTCTAGGATATCATTGCAACCATAAAGTTATGGACAAAGATTGCGACATGGTATATAAGAACATCTCTGACATATATAAATCGGGGAGTTTAAGACATACGACAACTTTGTTTCATTAGTTGCAAAATGTGTATGGCAGATAAGAGATAAAGATAGAAGAGGTAAGGTATGGCATGAACAGATAAAACCAACTGCTTCAGATTTAAAGAAAACCATTGACGCCTTAGTTGTTTTAGCAGGTAGGGTTTCAGAATATAACGAAAAAATGGATCCTCAGTGTTCGAAATGTAAAGCAGCAATTAGGAAATATAACTATTCAGTAAAAGAGATAGAAAGAATGAGAAACGACTATGCAGATTTAAAGAGGGAGGCAGAGAAGCCGGTAGAAGATAAAATGGACATGTTAGCATTTCTGAACAAAAACTATCCAACTGCTGACGATTTCCTTCTATCTGATGTCAAGAAGAAGTATAAAGAAACTTTCGGCCTTGTTAAAATTTTTGATATCCTCAGCGAAGAAATAGAAGCTACAAAAATATTTAAAATTTCACGAATTCATAACGTATATCATGTGAAACGTTTATAAAATAACTGGGGTAGAAATGAGGGTAGATATCGGGTTAGATCTAACCTTCTACCCTAAAATATATTTTTATTGAATTCAGCAACAAAATTCTGAGTAAAATAATTTTTAGGGCACGTGTCAAACCGTTGAGTTTTCACAAAATTCCAAAAATAACGTTTACCATGTAAAACGTTTATAAAATAACTGGGGTAGAAATGAGGGTAGATATCGGGTTAGATCTAACCTTCTACCCTAAAATATATTTTTATTGAATTCAGCACAAAAATAATGAATTTCCTTAAGATAGAAAAAATAAAGTTAGTTTTATTTTTATTTATTTTTTATTTTGTATGTAAAGACAGTAATGTCAACATCAGAGAACACAACAACAGTTATAGTCCATGAAGTCATAAATGAAGAATACGAATACATACAGTATAACAAACAATTGAGACTCATTCGTTCAGTCAAAGATGACATGTACCAAATGCAAAGTATAATGAATGCTCTTCGTTCTACAAAGCAAGCATATCATTGGTTTGAAAACCAACAGACAAAAGAACTTTTAGAAGAATTTCCTCATATGATTGCTTCCCTCGGAAAACCGAGAGAAGAGATTCCGTACGAAAATCGCAAGAATTTGGCTCCTGGTTTGAAAGGTTATTATGTTCATAGACTTTTAGTAAATGCTGTAGCAATGTGGGCTTCACCTCGTTATGCTTGTTATATTTTCATGATGTTAGATGAACTATATAAAGCAGAACGTGGAGAGATGGAAAAGAAACTTCAAGCAAAAGATGAAGTCATTGAATCCAAAGACAAAAGCATACAGAAAAGAATACCGCGTTCAGTACCAAAAGGAAAGGAAAAGAGTTATAAGTATATGATATATACTGAAGAGTTGGAGAAAGAAGAAGACAGAGATATGGTTATGTTGCATTTAGTGAGAAGAAACAACAAGAGTTTTTATGACTTAGCTAAGATATATAAATCTGACAGAAACTGGTTCTATCGTGAAAACTTACCGATTTCAATGACACCGAATGAGCAAATAAAGGAAATTGTCAAAAATACTCTTCCTCAAACACACTATGACATCAAAGGTTGCACAATACTTACATTCAAAGAAGACTTAACATTACTGAAGGAAAAAATAACAGAATATTTCGATAACTTCAAAGAGGAAGAATAAAAAAAATCTAAGCTAATTTTATTTTTTTATAAAATTTTATCTCATATGAAAGAACATGAATTTAGAATATTCGGAACTCATGACAGAAGAAGAGAACGAACAACATGTAAAAGATTATGCAAAATTTCTGAAGACATACAAAGCATTTAAACAATATCTAAATGCTTCTAAAGATTATGCAAAATTTCTGAAGGTATATAAAGCGTATGAAAAAGCGTATGAAAAGTTTATACATTGGGGAATTGTTGTAAAATATCGATATGAAGACTAACCAAAAATATATTTTTGCTTAAATAGCTTCAGGGTCTATTTCTTCAACCATTTCACTTCCTTCGTCAATGTCAATAGAAGCTTCTTCAACCTTTGGTAAGAACTTTTGTATAACATCTTTGTTCGTTATTGTCTTCAGAGATGAAGGATAATATTTCACATTTGTTTCACCTTTCTTATATTCTTTCTGTTCGGAAAGATTTAAAGCAATACTGAAGAAGTCAATGTTAGAGTTCTTTATGACAGTATAATGAGTATCTTTGACATTCACGAAGAAACTCTTTTGTTTCAAAACTACTGCTAACTCTTGTGAAGTATAACGTTTGCGGTCAATGACGATAGCTAATGGTCTGACATACTGACCAAACTTAGATTCTTTCACAAACTTCTTGTTAAAGATAACATTAACGTTTGCAGCACCATTGAACTCATTCTTGATGGCAGTAGCGAGTGCATTGTATGAAAAGAACTTGCAATCTTGCATGTGTTTCATTAAAATAAAAATATTAAATTATTTTGAAAAATAACTTAAAAAAATCTAATCTAATTTTTTCAAAAAATATTTTTTTTATTTCCTACTAAAGATGTATCGGAAGTTGTCTAAGTTAGAACACTCGGAAATAAAACAACTTCTTACAGAAGCTAATATAGATGTTGCAAAGCATTATGCAACAAACAAAAAAGCACTCGCTGACTTCATTAAAGACTACAATGGTGAAATAACTTATGATAGAATTCATGAGTTCATAAAGCCGCAACGCGGCGAGGACGAAGTCCATGCAAGAGCATTTCCTTTAAATGACGTTGCTATTGACTTATATCATAGACGTTCAGTACCTCATGAAGTAAGAAGAGAAATGTATGACATAACAAATGCGAACGTTGGTCATACTCGTAAAGCTCTTTCTCATGACGTTCGTCAAGAGATGTTTGAACTTACGAACTCAAACGTTGGTGAAACAAGAAGAGCTGTACCTCATGAAGTAAGAAGAGAAATGTATGACATAACAAATGCAAACGTTGGTAAAACACGAAAGAGAGACGACACACTGAAACAACAGAGAAGAGAGATGTTTAAAAGTGCTATAGAACAAGTTCGCAAAGCTAACGATGTCATTCGTTCCATTGACGACAAACCAAAAGAAGGTGAGAGATGGTTAAAGAAAGATGAAGAGAATAGGAAGAGAAATGTGAAGTCAGGCAATAGACTCATTGACTTTAACATCGAAGCTTTAGATGAACCAAACAGAGACTACTTACACAAACATTTCGGTAAGGTTTTCATGAGACTCTTAGAGAAAATTAAAATAAACTCACAACAGAGATGGATGGTATGTTATAAACTTGGTGGAAAGTATGAATGTTCTACGTTAAACCTCAATAATATTGGAACATTACTACATCAGCTCTTGAAGGAGAACTTTATATCAGAGATAGAAGCAAATGCTGCAGGTATTGTTGAAATGCACTATGACTTCTTCTTGACAAACATAAAGAATCTTACTGAAATAAAGATGTATGATTTAACAGAATATGAAGGCTTAACGATGTCAGATGTAAAGAAAGGCAAACCAAAAAAGAGACCATATAGAGATGAAAGCACACTGACAAATGACCAGAAAGCCATTTTGGAAGCTCTTAAGCAAACAGGAAACCCAGCACTTATAGAAAGCTTTTGGAAAGATAATGGTGAAAAGAAGTTTTATAAGAAGAGAAGCGGTCAGTTCTGGAAGTATCTTTGCACATTACCTATAAATCTTGAACGCTACCAAATCTTCAATGAACTGAACAAAAGAACTGCAACACTTATGACAGAAGACAATTGTTTCGTTTATGCTTGCATTCAGGCTGGAGTAGATGGAGAGACTATTGACCACAGGCGTGAAGTTATTAGAGTTAGAGATTTTCCTCAAAGTAAAGTACAAGAAATTTCTGACGCAACAGGTATAGCATTTAATGTTACCATTGGTTATTTCAATGACTCAAGACATAATGAAATAAAGAGATACATACCAAAAGAATGTGAAACTGTTAGAACTATTGACTTACTTCTTGTTGAAGACCACTACATGCTAAACGAAAGATTACCAATGACAACATATTTCATTCGCAACTATAGAAATCTTGAAGGAGTGTGGTGGAATGAACATTGAGAAACAGATGAAGATTTATACAAAGAGAGAGAACAAATATGTAGTTCGTTATGATAGAACAACACCGTTATGGGATGTTATGAAAACATTGTGGGAGTGCAAATATTTCGAACCTATTTCTTATGGAGAACTTTTCACATATACGACTGACTTATATAAACAGAACCTTGCACCATTTAAAGATTTGACATATGCTCCAAAGTATTGTGTACAACTGAAGAAGAAAGCCGAGTCAAAAGAAGTAAATAAAAATAAGTGCAAGTTCATTCCTGAGCACGTTTTCTTTGCTGACTTTGAGTGTAGCACAGACGGCTTTCATAAAGCTTTTAACATATGTTATGACAGTGAAGATGGTTCAGTGAGTGAAAGCATTTGGGGTCAGAACTGTGCAACAGAATTTTTGGAACGACTTCCTGACAAGAGTTTAATATATTTCCATAACCTCAGTTATGATATAAACTTCATCTTAAGACACATGACAGAAGTGAAAGGAACTCCCATCATTAAAGGTTCACGAACAATGCAAATAACTGGCTTATATAAAGGAAGGGCAATTATTATAAAAGACTCTTACAGTGTTATAAATAAGAAGCTTAAACTATTTCCTGCTATGTTTAACTTACAAACAGGACCGAAAGAAGTATTTCCATATAACTACTACAGCAGTGTTTTGTTAGCAAATGACAACAGAACTGGTGTCATTTCTAAAGCATGTAAGTTTATCCGGGATGCGGATACATTCATGAAAAACATAGATTCCATCAAAGGTTGCAGAATAGATGAGAACCATTTTGACTTAGAAAAGTATAGCACGTTTTACTGCAAACAAGATGTAAGAATTTTAAGAGAAGGTTTTGTTAAGTTCCGCAATGACATATTGAAAGAATTTGATTTAAACGTTTATGACTACGTTAGTATTTGTTCTATTGCTAACAAATTGTTTGAGAACAGAGTATACTTCCCGAATGGAAACTTATATGACCTCTCAAATAAACCAAGAGAATTTATTTCACGCTGTATTCAAGGTGGAAGATGTATGCTGTCAGATAACATTAAACAAAAGAGCGAAAAGAAACTCATTGCTGATTTCGACGCTGTTTCATTATATCCATCAGCTATAGCAAGACTTTATACTTTAGAAGGTATTCCAAAGGTTATGAAGAAAGAAATGTTAAGCACAGAGTATCTCATGAGACATTTATTCGATGACGACCAAAAGGAACCCATTGGTGAAAAGTTTATGTCTGGCTTCTTTGTTCTCATTAAGATAACAGAGATTGGAATACATAGACACTTTCCTTTAATAGTTTGTGACCCTGAACTAAATCCAGAACTTAACGTTCCCAGAAGTTCAAACACTTGCTGTTTAATGTATGTTGACCATATAACATTACAAGACCTCATAAAATATCAAGGTGTCAAATGTGAAGTGTTGCAAGGATACTATTACGATGGAAACAGAGATATTAGAATAAGAGATGAAGTAAAGAAGTTGTTTGAGTTAAGGTTAAAGTATAAGAAAGAAGGAAATCCTTTGCAAGAAAATATAAAGCTCATTCTGAACAGTATTTATGGCAAAACTATTCTATCTCCTATTGAGTCAAAAATAACCATAGTAAATGACAAAGATGCTATAAGATATGCCATCAGAAACTACAACCATATAGTGAAGTTCGAAGGTTTGGATGGTTCAGATAAAACTATTTTCAAGCTAACGAAAAGCATTTGCAGACACTTTAACTTCTGTCCACTTGGTGTTAATATTCTATCTATGTCAAAACGTATTATGAATGAAGTATTCTGTACTGCAGAAGATATGGGACTTCAAATCTTCTACCAGGACTGTGATAGCATGCATATTATCAATGAAGACATCCCACTGTTAGCTCAGGAATTTCAGAAGAGATACGGTAGAGAACTTATAGGAAAGAACCTTGGTCAATTTCATTCTGACCTCGCAGAAATAACACCTGGAAAACAAAGTTTAGCATACAAGTCAATATTTTGTGGAAAGAAGACCTACATAGACTTACTCACTAACGATTTAAATGAAGTTGCATTCCATGCACGTTGCAAAGGTGTCAAACAAGACGTCCTTGCTTTAACAGCAAATGAAATGTTTCCTGAAGCTATACAATGCTATTACAATGAAGATAAGAACATTCACATACCTGTTGGAACATATGACAAAGACTCTGAGTTCAGTGTTATGAAGTTATATAAAGCACTTTATGACGGTCAAGAGATTGCATTCGACTTATGTAAGTCTGCTACACCTGCATTTGAAGAGAAGTTTAACTTTTCTATTCAGACTAAGACTTCATTCATAAGAAAGCTTAAGTTCTGAGGTCATGAATGAGAAAAATAATGAGGTCATTTATTTTTGTCAGCAGTGAGACCATTCATGATAAAAATAAGCCGCTAGCGGCAAGGGCGAAGCCCATGTGGTCATTTACAATACTGCGATGGTAGAGTTTAAGAGTTGTGCTTCAATATAGAGACAGTCCTTATGGTCTGGAGGTAAGAACACTGGGCAGTTATGGTCATGAGTGGAGAACATGTCTATCCAAAACTCAC